AGTCAGCTGGTTAAAGAAAAAGCAGAATTAATCCATCAATTAGAAGCTAATAAGGACCAAAGTGGAGCAGAAAGCACCGTACCTGGTAATGTATTTTATAAAACATGCTACCAATCCCCAAGTTCTTGAATTTGGATTTGCCTTTTGTTTGTTCAGATTTCTGGTAGTTGTCTTCCTATAAAATTAAATCCCTCATATGAAGCTTTAGAACAGTTTTCTCTCTGTGCTACAATATAAAGAATATTTCACAGAACTTCTGTTTTTTCTGTTGTTGTTGTTTTTTGTTTGTTTGTTTTGGCGTAGGGCACACACACTTGCCGGAGAGGAGATGAGACACAGAGAGAGGGAAAGTGAGAAGTCACCCTCCAGGGAGTATGGCCACACCGCAATCCCTCCTCCTCCCTTTTCTTTTCTCTTAGGCAGGCATACACACAGGCCTGGCATGATTTTCAAGCCACTGGATCTGGGATTCTAAGGATCACTGGCCATGTGAAAACCCTAACCACCACGCCACCTGCTGGCCCCCTCATGGATCCTTTTGAGTTGTTTATGCTGTGGAATATCAAGTTTTTTCCTCCTTGTTGAGGATCTGAATGTTGAAGATTTAATCACAATACAATGTCAAGCAGTAAATAGTAGGTCTATTGCATCCCATTTCTAAATATAGGCCCTTTTAATCCTTTTGAACATTCTCTTCCTAATGTTAATTACTGTTTTGTTAATTTTAAAAGTACAAGTAGGTAAATATTGCTTACATTTTTTTTCCTTTTATGAATTAGTTTGTCCTGTTTTCATTCTTATTAAGATGTGAATACTAATCATTCCCTTATTTCTGTGAACATTCATGATACATATACATAAAATATGTATATACATTCCCAGAGTATTCAATCCTCATTTTTAACCATTCCCAAGGTCATTACAACAGGGAGTGGCAGAGGAAAGGTTGATTTCTAAATCTTGAAATTCTAAAGCCTCTTGCCTTTTTCTGCTCTTAACCACTTGTCAATGGTCTCTCTCAGTAGTTGAAGTACATACTAGGTCTTTGGAAAAATCATGATATATTTTTCCATGTTTTTCCTTGCAAAAATATGTCATTACTTTCCTGACAACCTAATACATCTTTCACCCTGTAGGCCTAATAGAACCCAGTGTGGTGTATATTAAACTAAACACAGTACCAAAGACCTTTATCTCCTGTGTGAAGGAGATAAAGACACCTGTCATATTTAAAAATTGTTTAGGCTAAAAAAGCAAACTGTTTTGGAAATTCAAAATCACCGCATAAGTGATCTTTAGATAATTTTTGGGAAATGCTATAGATAATACTTTTTCCTGCATTCTCACTGATTAAAAGTGATCTCTGGGGCCAGCAGGTGCTATGGAGGTTAAGGTGCTAGATCCCACGTGGTTGGCTGTGGTCCCAAACCAGGCAGCTTGAAAATGACAGTGTGGGGAACCAGCAGTTAGCGTAATGGCTATGTTGCTGAACTCCCACGTAGTCTACCGCAGTTCGCGTCCCAGACCAGGTGGCTTAAAACTCATGCTGGGTGCGTGTGCGTGCGTGCCCAAAATCCCGAGAGAATGGAGGAGAAGGGATTGTGGCGTGACCATCCCCTCTGGGGGGTGATTTCTCACTTTCTGTCTCTTTGTTGCTCTCTGTCTGGCGAGTGCATGCACCCTATAGCGAAAATCTCTCCAAAAGAAAAAAAGAAAATGAGTGTGTGTATGTATGCCCAAAATCCCAAGAGGAGACTGGAGAAGGGACTGCAGTGTGGCCATCCCCCCGGGGGATGATTTCTCACTTCTTCATCTCTGGCTAGCACATGCACCCTATACAAAAAAAAAGAAGACAGTGATCGGAATATAGCATTCCACTGATTAAGAATCACTTCTAAAAATTCATTAGCACTGGGACCAGCAGGTGGTGTGGTGGTTGAGGCACTGGACACTCCCAAATGGCCGACCAGGGTTTGAGTCCTGAATCTGGTGGCTTGCTTTCTCACTTCCTTTCTCTCTCACTCTCACCCTCTGTCTCTCTCTGGTCAGATTAAAATAAATAAATAAAATAAATGAATGACTCAATAAAATAAATAATTATTTTTAAAAAATCATTAGCACTTTCTGCAAAAGTAAGGGAAGCTTTAGAAAGGATGTTTTTCAGAGGAAGATGAGTTCTGCTGATTGGAATCCCATAAGGAATTATTTTTCTCTCATCTGTCTCCAAGTTGTAATACTTAGGAGGCCATTCCAGAGGTACTGTACTAGAATATGTTTATTGTGCCCAATTTTGAAAATCTGTTTGCTGCCCATTTCCTCAACATTTAGCCCTTAAAAAATTTAATCTTCAGTGGCTACAAAAATATATGACATTTTATGTAGTGTTTAAAGGGCAGATACATTTAACAAAAATGTCAATAAAGCAAAAACTTTGTCTGGGACCAGCAGTTAGCATAATGGTTATGTCGCTGGACTCTCATGTAGTCAACCATGGTTTGCGTCCTGGACCCGGTGGCTTAAAACTCACGCCAGGTGCATGTGCATGTGTGCCCAAGATCCTGAGAGGAGAATGGAGGAGAAGGGATTGCGGCGTGGCCATCCCACTTGGGAGGAGATTTCTCGCTTTCTGTCTCTCTCTCTCTCTGTCTGGCGAGCGCATGTGCCCTATAGCAAAAAAAAACCCTCAAAAAAAAAAAACAAAAACAAAACTGTTTTATTCTCATTGTAAAATTGGAGTTAACTCTAGGGGGAAATCCCAGTAAATTAAAACCTTTATACTATGATGAGGGGATGTAAAAAACAACAACAAAAAACTCTGGAAAAATGAGGGAGAAAATTTAAAAAAAAATTTGAAATCCAAGCATACTATTTTCATAGTACACATTTTCCATGGACTTATTCAATTCTCATTTGTGAGCTTTCTTTTACAAGGTATTAGGGCCTACATCTTCTTTATCTCTGTGTTACACACCCTGCCAGGTACATGTTTTGCACACAGTAACTGTACCATAAACAGTGATCTACGTGGAAGAGCCAGTACTATCTATGTTGGATAACAGGAGCATTTGGCAAGCTTGTAATTGTAGCCCCTTACCTGTTTACTTTTCTTCTGTAGTATTTTTAGTATTCAATAAGTGTTCCTGGTTCTGTGATTTTCTTCTGGAAAATAACTTTTTTACACGTAAAAAGTGAACCTGACTGTACACATCTAGTATCCAGCAAATGTCTTTTTGGTCTGCAATGGACTGAAAGCACTGCTAGAGACAGCATATAGCATTCACAGCCTGGAAAATCTTTCAGCCATAAAATGTATTCCCTAGGCTTTAGATCTCTTATATTTTCCGTTTATTCTCTAAAGTCTGTCTTGTCTTAAACTTACTCAGATAGGAAGAAGCTGAGTCTGAGTCTACATTTTTATAACTTTCTTAGCAGATCCAGATCAACTTAAGGAAAAAGTAGAAGACCTAGAGACACAGCTCAAAACATCAGATCTAGAAAAGCAGCATTTGAAGGTAACTAAGTGTTTAATTATATCTAATTATAGTAATACAAATGTTTTGTGAAAATGGCTGTTGAAAACTTTTTATGATCATCATCTTTGAGCTTTACGTATGTATTATAAAAACCCTCAGAATTACTTATATTTGATCTTGATAATACAGAGTTCATTATGCTTATGTTAAAAATATTGCTTAAACAAGCACTAACAAAAATTTCAGACAAACAAAGGATTAAAGAGTAAATTTTATTTTTTAACTTGTAACAAATATAGCTCATTATTTTAAAAAAATGTTCTTATTTTAAGTAGTGGCTCACATTGGTAACAGCATCTTTTAATATCTTTTTAAATTGTTTTCAGGAATCCTCTCTTAAAGTTATAGTCCCATTAAGAAAATATTTGCTGTGTTTTACATTTTTTAAGACTGTAAACAGAACAAAAAGGCATGAATATGAAAATTAGCTAGTGACCAATGGCCATTCTAAACAGGCATTAAAACTCAGATTCTATTTTCACCAAATGCCTAAAAGCATAGTAAAAGTCCAGGGTTTCCCTGATAATAAATATATTTCTAAAAGTTGATTATTCCTCAATAAAACTTGGATTTTTTTGAAAAGAAAAAAATAAATGAGGCCCTATACCCACTTCCACCTGGTGATGGAGTTCTGCTGTGCACACTCAGCTTTCTGGCTTGATGGGGCAGATAACATCTAGTTCATTTCTCACTTTCTGTCTCTCTGTCTCTGTCTGGTGAGCACATGCGCCCTAGAGCAAAAACCTCTCCAAAAAAAAAAAAAAAAAAAAAAAAAAACTTAGCCAGAATATCTTTAATGTTGTGAACAGCAAATTTTTTTTTAAATTTTCCTCATTGAGAGTATCTCATATACTTTCATAGAAAGATTAAATCCTACCATAATGTAAGATTTACTAAGTTTTAGTCAGAGACTAGAACATAAGTTACAGAATAATTTAATTGGACAGTTACCAAGTTAGTTATTCATACTGTACAGTAAAAACTAATTAACAAAATCTTAAGAAAGGATTTCTGCCTTTATATGTATATTTGATCTTTCAGTTTACTTTGATTTTCATGCTTATAATTAAATTTCTTTAGATCAAACCTAAAATGTATTATATTCATATATGCAGCTTTTAAAGATAATATGTTTCTATTAGGAGGAAATAAAAAAGTTGAAAAAAGAACTGGAAAGTTTTGATCCTTCGTTTTTTGAAGAAATCGAAGATTTGAAGTATAATTACAAGGAAGAAGTTAAAAAAAATATTCTCTTAGAAGAGAAGCTCAAAAAACTTTCTGAACAATTGGGAGTTGAATTAACTAGTCCTACTGCTGCTTCTGAACAGTCTGAGGATGAAGAAGAAAGTCTTGTGAATTTCCCCATTTATTAAAGGCCAGCTATTATGTAATTTTACTTAAGTATTTAATTTTATATGTTAAAATTCCATCTGGAATGACAAGTCTCTGAACTAAGGAATTTCCTTCTGAGTATCTTGTACCTTTACCTAAATTAGAATTTTCATTAAATAAAATGATATGAAAGTTTTAAATTATTAGAAATATATATTTTTGAAGACTTTTAAAATAAGTTGTGGCCACCAAATAAACAAGTAATGGTGAATATCTCTACATTCATGTTTTCAGTTTTTTAAATAGTGTGAGAGTAAACTTTAACAATTTTAATATTTAAAGTTGTTTTATATGTACTCGTATACTTATTTATATACATTTTAAGATTCTCAAATCTTATTTATATATACAGGTTGAGATTAAGCCACATATTTTGCTTAAAATTAAATTAAGCTTGAACTATTTAATTTTGAAAAAATTGTTAGTTTAATTGTTCTTTTTAAATTACCATCTAGTTATAATGGACAGAATCCAACCTTTGTACAAGCTTAGGAGCTTACTGTTGCTTACATTTGTATGTCCAGTGGTTAAAATTAATTTGCTGAAAATAAAACTATGAGTAGCTATTTGCAACTGACAAATTAATTTCTTGAAATGCTATTAGATACATTGATATGTTTTACAATGAACAACTTGAGATATTTTTACCTTTTTAAACATTGCAGGATATTTGAGATTCAAATATAACAATAACAAAGCTAATTTTAATTGCATTTCCACTTTATACATCCAGCATTATATCTTTTAGCCTACCAAATTTCTGATTATCTATTTTTGAAAAATGATAAAATAGACACTTAGTATCAAAGGTATAATCATATTTGTTCAGGTTCATGTTGATAATAACTGGCTTTGAATTCATGTAAGTATCTGAAATTGGCCAGCATAAACCAAGATGATGCCGATGGACCTGCAAAGAGAAGAAGGGGTATTATTAGTTTTAGCCTATAGATATTATCTGCATACATTCAAAAATATTTGAGTGCCTACTATCTGCCAGGCACGGTGTAAGGCTCCACTTTATCTTACCCTGTTTTTTTTTTTCCATAGCTGTTCTCCTCCTGACTTAATACATACTTTCTTGTTTATTGTCTATCTTCCTCAATAGGATCTGAGCTTCATGAAGGCAAGATACTGTTTTGTTGACTCTGTATTGCCAGCACCTGGAAACATGCCAGGAACATAATCAAGCGCTCCAGAAAACTTTAGTGAATAAAAGTGTCTGGTACTGAGAATAAAAGCTAGCTATCTAAAAAATGTAGGCAGAAAGGCTTCTAAATCAAAGGGAAGGTAATATGTTCTATATGGCGTTTTTTGCACTAATTGCACTTAGTTAAATGTGGTAAGAACAAACACAATGTACGGTAGGGAGCTGGGAGTGGAGAATAGTTCTAGAAAGTTACATGGACAAGACCGTGAAAAATCTTAATGTAATTGAACAGTTTTATCCAGAAGTATCATTTATTTGTGAAAAATGGAAAGGATAGGAATAAGACTAAAAGAAGTTGTTCAAGAGAGTGATCTAATAATTTAAGCATGAATCTTAGTGTTCATTAAAATTAACAGTCAACTGGTTAGAAAGAAGTATACAGATTCAGGACCAGCAGTTGGTATAATGGCTATATTGCTGGTCTCCCATGTAGTCGACCGCAGTTCGAGTCCTGGACCCAGTGGCTTAAACTCATGCTGGCACGTGTGCATGCATGCCCAAGATCCTGAGAGGAAAATGGAGAAGGGATTGTGGCATGGCCATCCCCGCCCCCCCATAGCAAAAACCTCTCTAAAAGAAAGTAGTGCACAGATTCAATAGATTAGGCTCTTTCTTAAAGAGCTGGTAACTGGATATACAAAGTAATGGAAAAAAGAGTTTAAAATAGTACTACAGGGGCCAGCAGGTGGCATGGTGGTTAAGGACGCTGGACTCCCACATGGCCGACCACTGTTGAAGTCCTGGACTTGGCGGCTTACTTTCTAAC